AATCTATATAATTATTTTTACATTATGTATTTTCTTTATCAACTAAATTGGAAAAACATGTTGGCCCTATATTGACCATACCCAATAAGGGCCCTGTCCATTAATAGCCCTGTCCATTAAAAGCCCTATAAGCTTGGCCCTGACCCTATTATCATCGGGTTACCCTGTCCAATAACCACCTCTAGTGCCAGGTGAGGGAAAATGATTATTGGTGCAAGGTGAGAGAGAATGATTATTGATGCCCCGAACTGCAGAAAGGGGGGTCCTATTTATAGGGAAAATGAGCAGAGGGAACACGCGGAACCCTAAAAAGATAAAAATCCTAAAAAATAACACCGTGTCACGGAAAAGAGCACCGTGACACGGTGCCAGGCACCGTCAGACGGGGTAAGATCCCGTGACACGGTGGAAAACTGAGTGACGCGGGAAATAATTAGGTTACGGGAAGTGAAAATGCGTTTAGGGATTACGCGGAGAAAACACGGAGCAATCCCATGTCATGGGATGTGCACCGTGACACGGGAAGAAATGTCGTGACACGGCATTGTCCACCGTGGCACACTGCACATCCTGTGACACGGTGTAAAAAGTACGCGGAAATTACATGGAATATCCCCGTGTCACGGAATGGGCACCGTCACACGGGAAATTGCACCGTGACACGGTGCAAAATCCCGTGACAAGATACAAAATCCCGTGACACGGGAGAAAAATGTGCAGAATTACACAAAAAGTGCTCTGTGTCACAGGAATAAGCCCCGTGACACGTCAACATTTGCCGCGTCGCGGCGTTTTAGCTGTTGCGCGGTAATTTCAGTTTTTTACCCGTTTAACTTGGAATAAGGCATATAGTATATCATTGGAAATATTATCAAGTCTTCTTTCCAACCCAACTAGAATCAGGTCAAAATGATTTGTAGATTTTAAGATATGGCCGTTTTAGTGGAAGGGTGTCGGTTTTAGGCCGAGTTTAGTGTTTTGCTCATATCTTTTCTTTTATAGCTCGGAATTGGGCTTATGATATATGGTTGGAAATCTTATTTAAATTCCTATCAAAAAAATAATAATTGGATCAAAATTTTATAGCCATAAAATCAGTTTCTCTCGGTTTTGCGATGTGGACACGAAAAGTGGAAAATAGGATATGGTTTAGGGAAATGAGCTAGAAATTGGATTGGTTCATGAAATATATTGGATAGAAAATTGATTTTACACTCCAAAGATTAAATACTTAACCCGACCAATAATGGCGGTGAAAGGTGTTCATCAACGGGTTTGGTTTTGGGGAGACATTTTTAGGTGTCTACAGGTACCAAGGCAAAATTTAAGGGGCGAAGATTAGCTAGTGTAATGGAAGTAATTAAAGAAAGGAGAGATAGAAAATGGGACCACTTCAATTAAAAAGGGTGGGAAAATATGATTTTATTAGGAGGGATAGAGAAAATGGGACCACTCCACTTAAAAAGGGAGAGAGAAAATAGGACCACTCCACTTAAAAAAGGGAGAGAGAAAATGAGACCACCTCACTTAATTATTTAAATAGGGAAATTTGTCAAAAATAAGTCAACCTTTGTTTGGTTAGCTCAAAATAAGCCAAATTTTCGATTAACACAAAATAAGCCAACTTCTAAGGGTATTTTATTTTAATAGGTCAAATGTCCTACAACCTACCAAACAAATGACTTTTATAGTTATAAATAATTTACTTTAATTAAATGTTATAATAATTATATATATTTAAAAACAAATTTTAAAAATTAGACAAAAAAAAAAAAAAAAAAAAAAAAAAAAAATATAGTCATCCCCTCTCCCAATCACTGCTAGCCCCCCTCCCCTCCCCTATCAGCGGCCAATAGCCGGCAACCAACTCCCTCACAGGCGTTGTGGTCGCCGACAACCTACCCTTCACTGTCTCGCATTAGCTCACGCGCAACATATCACCAATTCACACCTAAACTCCCACGTCAACAACACAATTAACCAACATCCATACGCAGTTACGCACCACCCATTAAGACACCTCACACATAAAATCACACACTATTGCTACGCCAAATGAACAGTTGCGCACCCCGCATCTCCACCACAACAAGCGCACTTAGAAACAGTCGCCACCAATCAACTCCATAGCAGCCCCAATGTAGATCAAAATAGAGAATCAACATGGTTCAAGCATAACCGAAATCGTGTTCGGGCAAACCAAGCAATTCCAAATTCACTCAAAGCGTTTATAAAAAATTAAAGCGAATCATTTCGCAATTAAACTTTGCCTCTTTTAATGAAGCTCAACGATCATGAATTGAACACACGGTTGAGGGAAAGGGGTCTTTTCCTATAGAGGCAAAGGGGGGAGGGGTGGGGGGGGGCGGCGGGAATGGGAATGGGGAAAGGGAGGGGGTGGTCGCCGGCACTGGAGGACGAAGGTGTTCGTCGGCCGTTGACCGTGTAAGGGAGGAGGATCGGAGGTGGCTGAGGTTTTGTTTTAGTTTTTTAGGTTATTTTATTTATTTGATATAGTTATTTAATTGTTACTTTTAAAAAAATAAATTAATAATTAATCAAAAAATAAAGCTTAACTAATTATTTTAAAAAAAAAAGGACCAATCACATAAGAACACGTGTTAGACTTTATCTGTATAAATGGTTACCTTATAATCTGACAGGTTTTAAGTTATTTTAAAAAACAACCTATAAAAGTCGACTTATTTTGAGTTATTTAAAAAGTTGGCTTATTTTGAGCTAACCACATAAAGGTTGGCTTATTTTTGACAAATTTTCCTTTTAAATAAGGGTATATTAGTCTTTTTAAGCTTTTTTGTTTACTAAAATAGGAAAGAAAATGGGAAGTTGCACATAACCTCGATCATACATTTTCGGAAAAAGTTGCATATAACATTTAACGGAGGTAGTACTTATAGTGGTATTAACTAAATTCTTAGTTATTAAAAAAAAAAAAAACAAAAAAAAAAAAAAAACAACAACATTCTTAGGGCCTGTTCCGATTGACTTAACTCAGCTGAACTGAACTGAACTGAACCGAGCTGAACTGAACTGAACTGAACTGAACTGAACTGAACCGAGCTGAACTGAACTGAATTGAACTAAACTGAACTGAACTGAACTTATTAATTAGTGATTTTTAACTACGGATTAGTGATCTTTGATTATTTATTGATTATTTATTGATATTTATTACTATACATATGTGTATATACAAATGTACATATTAAAATATTTACGAAAAATATACTATATAATTATAATTATAAAATGTATGGAAAATATATTAAAAACTTGAAACCTCTAATTTTCTCAATGAGATTAACATTAGAAATATGTTTCAAAAAAATAGAACCATTTGAACAATGAATTGTATCAATATTATTATTGTTATTATTATTATTATTAATTATTGATAATTATTATTATTATTTATTGATTATTATTATTAGTATTATTATAGTATTATTATTATTATTATTATTATTATTATTATTATTATTTATTGATGATTATTATTATTTATTGATTATTATTGTTAGTATTATTATTATTATTTCAATTATTATTGTTATTATTATTATTATTGTTAATATTATTATTATTATTATTATTATTATTATTATTATTTTTATATACTATTTATTATTATTATTTTTGTTGTTGTTGTCGTTGTAATAAGATCTTAAAAGAATGAAATTTGGCTTTATATCATTAGCAATATCATTAGACATAAATTAAGAGCTGAGCTGAACTGAACTGAGCTGAACTGAACTGAATTGAACTGAATTTCAACGAAACAGAACAGGCCCTTAGTGATGCTTCTAAAATTTCAATGGTATGTAGTTATGTAATATGCAAGTTGCCAACTTACCATTGATGTAAATAAAGTGTGGTACCACTATTTTTTCTTTCTCTTCCATATAAATGAGTAAAAAAAAGTAGGAGGATCTACTTTGGATCTACCTCTCTAGTCTCTATTCCAATTTGTCTCTCGTTTTCTCTCTTTGTCAAGTAAATTTATCAATATTTTAATACTTCCCCTATTTTCTCTTATTGCACCATAAGGACTTTTACACTATTCATCTAATCTATTTTGACCATCTTTTGCGATTTATCTATTAGGAAGAACATAATCATGTGAGATCTAGTTAGATTCGTCTTGAAATCTAATTTTCAAGTATTAATTTTTTATAAATTTTACAAAAGTTTAATTAAAGATGTTAATTGCCAAAGTAATGCATTGGCAAACGTGAAACCCCTTATGGTGTAATTAAAAAAAGAACGGAGGAAGTACATAATATGCATTTATAAATTCATATTTCATGTACTTTCTTCATTCCATTAATATTGCAATATAGATGAAATTATGCATTCCAAAAGACATTTTACATCTTAAATATCTATGTTTGTATAATAGTAAAATATTAAATTAAATAAATATTGTGAAAATATTTTCTGAGACGAATCTAACGAGATCTCACGTGATTATATTTTATTCATTGTATAAATCATATTATAGGGTCAAACAGGAGTGATGAATAGCGCAAAAGTTCCATTGTTATAATATTATTAAAACGGAGGAAGTAAGTGTTTGGACTTCCTCCAAATCGAGTCCCTTCATCAAGACATATAAGTCTACCCAAAAAAAAAAAAAAAAAAACCTTTAAAAAAAAAAAAAACCTTTAAAAAAAAGGACAAAACACACAAAAAAAATCAAGTAAAGTAAGGGTAACCATCAATTGTTTTTATACCATCACTCTTTGTTGTAGTCCTTGAAAATAATGCTTAGATGACGATATTTATTTTCCTTCTTTGATACATGGGGCTAAGATACCAAGTACTTGGGCAAATAAAAAACCAAAAGTCACACTGTGTTTCATATCAAAATGTGCAATGCAATATCTACCATCACTTAACCATGCCTAACTCCCAAACCCACGTGTTCCTAAATCTGTCCGTCCATCTAACCTACCACCTACAATTATATATCTCACGAGTTGTACTACTATCTCTTACAATACTATTGGAACTCTGTCGACGTGCTCTTCTTTCTCTAATCTCTATCATTTTCTTACTTAACTTTCTCCAACTAACCTTCTTCTTAAATTCTAATTATATTATATAAAAATACTCACAAAGTGCTACACTATATATATATAGGCTAAGTACTCTGATTAAGATAAGTTTTATCTAGTATATATTCTCTTAGCTTTATAGTTTTGCTAGGGAACGTTGTTGTGCAAGGTATCTAGCTTAAATGGCTTCCCTTGATGAAATCCGCCAAGCTCAGCGTGCCGATGGACCGGCCGCGATCTTGGCTATTGGTACCGCCACTCCACCCAATTGTGTTTATCAAGCTGATTATCCGGATTATTACTTTCGTGTTACTAAGAGTGAGCATATGACTGATTTAAAGGAGAAATTTAGGCGCATGTGTAAGTCTGTTTTTTTTATATATACTCATTTTAGCTCATCGCATTTATTAATTTTGTTGATGTTTATAATTTATACATTATATTATATATCTTTTGTGGAAAATGAAAATGAAATGATGCACTGGATGGTTTTATTTGTTTTAACATGCAATATCTTCATATTAATATTAATACACTAATTGATCCACAAGCTTGAATTATATTGTGATTAGACAATTATATTCCAAGAAATTATTAAAGAAATATAAGATTGTGGATAGATTCAGCAAACATCTATAATGTCTACTGTATAATATTAAGCGTAGAAGAATTTTATTTGGCAAAGATTTATGTAAAATTTGAGGAGAGACAAATTTGACTGAGTTTCCTTAGGAACTTGCATAGTTGCATGCAAAGAGTGTGCTTATCTAATTATTTTAATTTAGCAGAAAAATGACTAATGAGTTTAAACAATATCCTAAAAGCGCACTTTTAATTTCCCAATATATGGAATCTCGTTGGTATATACTTCTTCCATTTCAATTTACTTATCCCATTTATTTAAAAACTGTACAAGATTTATGTAAGACGAGTAAAATGAAACTAAAGAAATAAGAGGTACACAATTTTTTTTTTTTATATAATTATTAAGCCTGTCTCCTAAATTAAATTAAAGGATACGCCTTAAATTGTACTAACCTTATAAATTTTGCCGTTATTAAATTTTATAGGTGACAAATCAATGATCAAGAAACGTTACATGTACTTGACAGAAGACATACTCAAGGAGAAACCAAACATGTGCGAGTACATGGGCTCATCACTAGACACTAGACAAGACATGGTGGTTGCCGAAGTCCCTAGGCTCGGCAAAGAAGCCGCGGTCAAGGCTATTAAGGAATGGGGGCAGCCTAAGTCCAAGATCACCCATGTTATCATGTGCACCACCTCCGGTGTTGACATGCCAGGGGCGGACTACCAGCTCACTAAGCTCCTCGGCCTACGCCCTTCTGTTCGCCGCTTCATGCTCTACCAACAAGGTTGCTTTGCTGGCGGGACGGTCCTCCGTCTCGCCAAGGACCTTGCGGAGAACAACCGCGGGGCTAGAGTCCTTGTGGTTTGTTCTGAGATCACGGCTATTTGTTTCCGTGGGCCTACTGAGACTCACTTGGACTCAATGGTGGGCCAGGCCCTTTTTGGGGATGGGGCTGGAGCGATGATTGTCGGTGCTGATCCAGTAGAGTCCATTGAGCGGCCTTTATTTAAGATGGTGTGGGCAGCCCAAACTTTACTCCCCGACTCTGAGGGTGCAATTGATGGACACTTGCGTGAAGTGGGCCTGACTTTTCATCTACTGAAAGATGTTCCTGGCCTAATTTCTAAGAATATTAACAAGGCCCTCGAGGACGCATTTAAACCCCTTGGAATTGATGATTGGAACTCTCTCTTTTGGATCGCTCATCCTGGTGGTCCCGCTATTCTAGACCAAGTCGAGGCCAAACTAGGCCTAGACGAAGAAAAACTTACCGCCACACGTAACGTGTTACGTGACTTTGGTAATATGTCGAGTGCTTGTGTTTTATTCATCCTAGACGAGATGAGGAAGAAGTCGTCCAAGGAAGGGAAATCGACTACTGGCGATGGGCTAGACTGGGGTGTTTTGTTCGGGTTTGGTCCCGGCCTCACCGTAGAAACTGTTGTCCTTCACAGTGTTCCTTTGACCTATTGAAGTTGTTTTTGGATGTCTACCCCATAAAACATGAGTGGCAGTTAAATTTGCCACAATATCTGCTATGATTCTACTACTTTTGTTACGTAATTCATTTATAGTACTAGTAATTATTATTATTATCTTCCAGTGGTCCATTCCAATGTAATTTATTTATAGTATTCTTAATTAATATTTACGTGTTTGTTATGGTTATTTTTATTGTACGGAAATGGAACACAATACTACTGTATGTCTGTATCTATTACTATTGTGACTTTCAAAAAGAGACGTCCTTGTTATTATGAATTTATGATATATATTTTCTGTAGTTTGCAATACATGCAGAAAAATGTTGGTAAAAGAAAAATAAATTACATTAATACACATACTTTTGAAGGAATAAAGCAGAGAATATTACATTGGTATAATGGAATCTACAAATAACAAATGGAATAAAAAAAGTAATGCGTTGTGTATTTGAAAATACGTACAAAGTATAATGCTACCCTTGTATTTGAATGTTTTGAGGTTTATTGTCTGCATACAAATTAATGCAATTAAAGATAGAGTGTTGATGCGGTAAAAGGATAACTAGTCACAAACTATATATAATTGAAATTCACCATTAATTCCAAGGGCTAAGGCAAGATCTTTCATTTAGAACTACTACTATAGTCTATAGTTCATAATCTTAATTTCTACAAGAAAGAAAAAAAAAATCTTATAAAAAAAATCTTATAAAAAAAAAATCAAAGAGGATATTTTTTTGATAGTAATCTCAGATATGTAAATCCAGCCCAAATTGCGAGTTAAGCCCAAAGTTGTTACTCCCACAAATTTTTCAGGTGCTACACTTTGTTATAAACATAACGGTTTTGACTCGAAACTTTACTAATATATACTTGTAACACTCAAATCAACTGTTATTTTATAAATATTAAATGTGTTGTTCTATTCTACAAATTGTATACATTAATAACATTAAATTTTACTAATTTTTAATAATACGAAGTATAAAATTACATAAATAAATAGACAAATAAAAGTCATGCGTCTAATGTATGTTTGATCGAAGTGCAACACTAAAAAAAATATATATAAAAAAAATAATAAAAATAAAAAAACCGGAAGTAGTCTTTCTAACAGACAGATGTCACAAAGAAAAATTATACACGAGTATATCAAATTATCAATGATAAATGAGGAAAGACTTTCATTAATGGATGGTGACACTAGGCATGAACTAGCTGCAACACAATGGCAATTGGCAAGTGGAAAAAGTAATTTTTTAAGAGTCGCTAAGTCAACGAGGCTCACTTATCTACTCCACTAGAGGAGTTACTATAGGCCCACACCTGCTATGTTCCATATCAAATTCTTTTTTTGTTTCGATTTATACTATTATTATTGAGAAATATAATGTTATTATTGAGAAATATACTGTTATATAGTTTATACTGTTATAATTTGTTTCGATTTATACTATTATTACTGAGAAATATGTTGTTATTATTGAGAAATATAACGTTATTATTGAGAAATATATTGTTATATAGTTTATACTGTTATAATTCTAGCGAGATTTCCAATGGAGAAAGAGGGAAAGAGGAAAGAGCGAATCTTTATATTATACTGTTATTTGTTGTTTTTATACTGTATGTTATTGTTGATTCTATACTGTTTTCACCCTTGGTATGGACTATACCTAGTAGCGGCCCATCACACCTCCCACTAGAGTACTAGGGTAGTATTAACTATGGATTTTAATGACTAGGTGTTGAAGCTTAAGAGTTATGATGATGAGAATAAGCAAACTTCAACTAATAAAATTTCTCCAAGTGTTGTGATTAGGATAAGTGAAGTTGATTTTAGAAGTGGAAGAGTAACCTGTCTATGAAGACTCAAGAAGATTCCAAGGAAATTTATAGAAAGTAGAAGAAGAGTTCCTCAATAGAACTAACTGATGAGTTCCCTAATAGGAACATGAAGTGAAGCTTTCTTACAGAAGCTTGACATCAAGTTGAGAAGCTTGACTTGGTCTGCGTTGAAGACCGCAAGTTCCATTAGAAATTGGCCCGCGAAGTTCTAGCAAGGAGCTGAGCTGGAGTAAGATCGATGGACATCATGATCTCAATCTTGGACTGCGTGAAGCCCAAGTATTCATAACCCACAACATTGCCGAACAATCTAGATAGAATATATAAGTTTATTATTCTAAGGATTGTTGTAAATATGTTAGGTTAGTTTATGCATGGAATTTATTAGAAGCGTGACAAAGATTGGCAAGTCTTAAAAATGGAAAATTTATCAAAGATAAGTTTTAATTTATAAAAAGATTTTCTAAAATATTTTATTTTAAAAAAAATCCGGTTTTACATGATAATATTCTTTTCTTAAATTTATCTTCAATAAGTTTTCTATAAAGATATTCTTTGCAAAAGATTTACATAAAAACATGTTTTATGAAATTGGTAGTTTTATAATTTCTATCTTTTGAAAAACCCTACTTTACATACGAGTACCTCTTGTATATAAAGAAGATTTCATAATTAACACAACTTGTGAGTTTAAACGTGAATAATCTGAAGAGAGCTCTAATTTTAACTTTGTCAAGTCTAAAATTTGTCATATTATGGTCTGTTCATATTTACTGAACTGAGCTGAACTAAGCTGAACTGAACTGGACTGATTGGAGCTGAATTGAACTGAATAGAGATGAAATGAATATTTTATGGGAGAAGGAAATTAGGAGTTGAACTGATTGAAGGTGAACTCAACTAAACATAATTAAGTTGAAGTAAACAGGCCCTTAGTTTCGGAATTCATGTGTAGCTTTCCTATCACATATTAGAAGTCAAGTATTTATATTGTTTTGGTTTGGGTGAGTGATTAGCTTATAGCATATAGTTTGTAGACTTCTAGATTGAAATTGAGTGAGAGAGTACTCAGGAAGTACAGAGTGAATCTAAGCCAGGGAATTAGGTTGGGTAGAATGAGACTATACTATATAGCAAGTTCGGACTGGAACTTGTGAGTATAAGTCTGTTTATAATAGTTTGTAACTAGGAGAGTTTGTCCTATCGTAGTGAAGTAATTTGATGTGTGAAATCCCTAAGACGATCGAGGTTTTACTTCTAGTTGGGCCTTGAAAGGTTTCCTTGTAAAATCTTGTATGCATTGCTTAGTTCCTATTATATCCTGTTTTATATTCTGCAAAAGTTGTTAATATGAACTCACATACAATTCACCCCCCCTCTTGTAGTGTTCGTCTTAACTAACACTAGGATTTTGCTAAGGAACGACCTCATGGCCTGGTTTTAGATTACAATTTAAATTATTTCTAAAAATAATATTTAATTTATAATGTATATCAATTCATCAATCATTATAATTAATACTTATTTCTATTTAATATTTCTTTCATTATCTCTCTAATTCGAAGACTATGTGTTCATTATATATATAAAGTTCCTTAAAATGAGAAGAATGAGAAGGATTTTTTGTGCATATTTTTTGAACTAAATGTGCAAAAAAAAAAGACTCAAATGTGATGTGCATAATTTTTTTTAACAAATGTGCATAATTTTCGTTTTTCTAGAAAATTAAAAAAAATTATTAGTTTGAAACACAATTATGCATATTCAATATATATAAAAAATGTACATTTAGTAAAAACATATGCACATTTGTTCCTTCTCATCCTTCTCATTTTATGGTCATTCTCATTGGACTCCAACTAGAGCACTCAATTCGAGTAAACAGGTCGAGTTTGGGTAGGGTAAGAGTGGGTCGGGTCAATTTGGGTTAATAACGTAACCTATGCGGGTCGGGTTCGGGTTGGGTCATGCTTGATTCGGGTCACGTCAAGTCATAAATCTTATCGGGTTTAGGTCGGATTAATAACAGGTTGGGTTACATTTGGGTCGGGTGAATAATAAGTAGGTTAAAACGGGACAGGGTAATTCTTGGGTACGAGTCGGCTTCAGTTCAAGTCAATAATTTGTGGGTTAGAATCAAGCTGGGTCATTCTCGGGTTTGAGTTGGGTTCGGTTCAAGTCAATAATTTGTGGGTTATAATCAGGTTGGGTCATTTCCAAGTCGGGTCATTCTCTAGTTCAAGTCAATAATTTGCGGGTTATAATCAGGTCGGGTCACTTCCAAGTCGAATCATTCTCGAGTTCAAGTCGGGTTCGATTCAAGTCAATAATTTTCGGGTTACAATCGGATCAGGTCATTTTCAAGTCGGGTCATGTTTAGGTTCAAGTCAATAATTTTCGGGTTATGATCATGTCGGGTCATGTTTGGGTTCAGGTTTCAAATATTGGGTTAATTTGGATTTTGGGTTGATTTCGGGTCGAGTCATCTTGGGTTTGGGTACATTTTTTGGGTTGGTTTGTTTATAATTCATGTAATGACAATATAACAATTTGTATGACAACATATGAGGGAACTATAGCCTATAATTTAGGAAGATAATTATCTCCGTTGACAATACAAAAAATATATACTATATTTAACTCTTAAATTTGGGGATGATTCTTCTTTCTTTTGCTGGTCTAGATCAACTTGGTCTCCCTAGACAAAATGATTTGATAAAAAATAATAAGGTGGTCTTAATTGAATTTAAGGTGATTTGAAATCAGGTTAGGAACAATTTGGGTTGAATTTAGGTCGGGTCAATAACAAGTCATGTTGATTTTGGATCGGTTTAGTAATAGATCAGGTTGAATTTTGGGTCGAGTTAGTAATAGGTCGGGTAAAATTTGGATCGGGTCATTAACAAGTCGGGTTGAATATTGGGTCGGGTTAGTAATAGGTCGGGTAAAATTTGGATTGGGACAATAACAAGTCAGGTTGAATTTAGTTCGGGTCAATAACAAGTCGGGTTGATTTCGGATTGGGTTTGTAACAGGTTAGGTTGAATTTCAAGTTGGGTTAGTCACAGCTCGGGTGAAATTCCGATCGGGTTAGGAACGGGTCGGGTTGTATTCAGGTCGGGTTAGTAACCGGTCGGGTTAAATTTGGGTTATGGCGGATTAAAACAGGTTTGGGTCAATTTCGGTTTAGATTGGGTTCGATTCTAGTCAATGATTTACGGGTTACATTCGGGTCGGTCATCTCTAGGTCGGTTCATGTTCGGACTCGGGTCTCGAAAACTCAGGTCTAGGGTTAGTTTTGGGGTCGGGTTTGGGTCACCATTTTTTCGAGTTCAAATGGGTCGATTAATAATCGGGTTCTAGTCGGGTCAATTTTTGACAACTCTATTAGGTTCAAATGTGTTGACAATAAGGTACAAATCGGGGATGAAGGTACAA